ACCTATTTGGGAATACCTCTAGGATTAGGGAAACCCAAAAAGAGACACTAGACCCAAGTGATCGATCGAGTGACAGGGGCCTCGCTGGCTAAAAAGGAAGGTTCTTATCTCTGGCCGGTCGCTCTACTTTGGTTAAGGCTACTCTGGCTAACTCCCCCATTTACCTAATGTCCATCTTCCATATGCCAGCCTCTGTGGCCAAAGGTTGGACCAACTCATGAGGAACTTTCTATGGTTTGGCCCAGCTGATAAACTGAGATATCACCTAATATCTTGGGATAGAGTCCGACTGCCCAAAGTCCAAGGTGGTCTAGGAATCAAAGACCTAAGAAAGCATAACTTGGCCTTGTTGGGAAAGTGGTGGTGGAGATTAGCCACCCAACCAAACTCTTTGTGAGCACAGGTTTTTCGGAACAAATATAACATCCCAGACCACAAGTGGGTGCCCGATAGGCTAGCACGAAGCAGGGGTTCAAGAGCCTGGAGATCGGTAGCATCCTCCTTTGCTCGATTCAAGAAGGTGCTTCGATTCCATCCAAAACAAGGCAACAGAGTTCGCTTATGGTCGAACCTGTGGATTGGACATGCTCCCCTGATGGACCAATTTCTAGGACTTTTTCAAATTGCCTTCAACAAAGAGTCCACAATTGAGGATGATATGGTTTTAGCAGGGGGCGTAGAACTTGGAATCCCATTTTTCGAAGGAATCTGAATGAAGAGGAGACATTAGCCTTCACCACCCTCTCGGTTGCTCTACATTCTGTTTTTTTACCTCCATCTGGGAATGACTCTATGGTTGGGACTCCAGCCCCCTCGGGTAAGTTCTCGGTAGCCTCTTTCTATAAGTTACTTATCCAGCCTCCTACCTTCCCTCTAAATCCCACCTCCCCTCTTTACAAAGTCTGGAACACAATCGCCCCTCCAAAAGTCCAGTCCTTTAATTGGATAGCTGGCTGTCAGCGGGCCTTGACACTGGACCAGCTTCAAAAAAGGGTTCAACCACTTCCAAACAGAATGTGTAATGTGTCTACAAGAGGACGAATCCAATCCCCACCTCTTCCTTCACTGCAATATAGCTTTTGACCTTTGGACTCTGATCCTGAAGCTTTTCAATCTTAATTGGGTTCTCCCATCTTCGGTAAAAGATTTACTCCATTATTATTCAGGTGGTCCTTAGCCCTTAGCAGGAAGAACTTTGTGGAGGGCAACTATCGCTGCTAAAGCATGGGTTTTATGGCTTGAAAGGAACGAGAGGATCTTTCAAGGCCATAGAAATGAAGTCTCTGGGCTGTTTCACAAGGTTACATCTCTAGTAAATTTTTTGGCCTCCACCCATGGAGCCTCTAAAGGGATCCCTATGAGCTCTTTCCTCAGGCAATGGGACTACATTATTCGACTCCAGCCTAGAAACCCACATAGAGCCGACAACTGGATGCCCCCTCCAAAAAATGCCATAACGTTAAATTTCGATGGCTGCTCATTGGGGAATCCGGGTCATTCAGGAGTAGGGGGAGTCTTCAGAGACCACAATCGCAATGTTCTCATGACATTTTCTGAATATGTCGGCTATGGAGACTCACAACTTGCTGAAGCATTGGCTCTTCTAATGGGCCTGCAATTTTTTGACCCATCTTCGGTCAATCCTTAGTGGTGGAAGGAGACACTAAAAACATTATATGTTGGGCAGCAGCCATCATCGATCCTCCTTGGTACCTATCTAGGATATTTGATGAGATTGACCACCTATGCAGGGATATCAATGTCTGCTGGAGGTATACGTGGCGGACGTCGAACGAATTCGCCGACCTTCTAGCTAAAGATGGGGCGAGGCGACGAACAAACATGGAAGACAATGAATGGTCCATCTCCTTTTTTGCACTGGACTATAGAGGTCTCTAGGACTCAAAATTTCTTTTGTGACTTCTTGTAAAAGGGTGTGCCTATAAGCCCATTTTTTGTATACAATCTCTCCAAAAGTATATAGTTTGTATAGGGGTTATGGCTTAATTTTTTTACCGAGATACCCGTCTCGAGGGTATGCTCAGCTCTCTCTCTCCTCAATCTTTTGTAGTCGTTCTTGTTATAGTAATACAATGTTAACAATATAACAAAAAAAAAATGTACAAAGTAAGGTGACCGCCCTATCTTGATCCTCAATTTTCACTCCAATACTTTTAAGTCGACAAATGATCTTATTAAAGTCAATCAAGTATTTCAGCACTTTTGCACCCTCGTGCATCATCAAGGAATACAATTTTCTTTTTTAAGAAAATTCGATTTGTGAAAGATTTTATTTAACACAAACAATCTAATTTTCCCCCCAAGTCTTTCGTCCTTTTTTCCCCAACAATGTTAAACAACACTTCATCCACCAAACACAATCGAATAGTGACCCATGCCTTCATATCAAGTTCCTCCCAATCATTATGAGTCATGGTTGCCAATTTCTTATCTTTTCCAAGCAATGCCTTGTGTTACCCTTGATATACCAACAATTTTACATTTTCTTTTTAGCGTTAACTATTAGTAGTGGTTAGCAATTTTTGAAACCGTTAGTAGTTTTCGAAAGGGGTTAGTATTGGTAGGAATGGAAACCGAGACCGGTAGCTAAGTCACAGGTAGCGCTACCACCTTGATCTCAAACCCAATCCTAATAGATCTTACATTTTTAGTTTCTAGATTTCAAAATCATCTTTTCCATTAAATTTCTCCACCTCAAACTTGTGACTTGCCATTTCTAAAAATTACTACACAACTTGTGCTTTGATACCACTTCACTTATTGGCTAACCGGGATAGCCCAAGTCCCTACTTGATGTGGTGAGCTTCCCACAACAACAAATCCAACACGTCAAAATTGACTTGTCAATCGCCGACAAGCCGATTTCAAGAAAACAAATGCCCAAAAACAATAATGTGTAGAAGTTTTGGGAAATTGGCAACTCAACAGTTTGATGCAAAATCACTTCTCATTTGATCTAAGGTATTTCTCTTATTGTCCAAAGGCATTTTAGTCAAATATAAAATGACTTTTATGAGTTATATAAAGTCATTTTAGAGAAAGAGAAGAGCATAGCATGAAGGAGAGTTCTTGGTAGAAAATGAAGAAAAGTTATGGGGAAGAAAGAGATTTGGAGGTTTTGCTTGGTAAACTCTAGCTTCTTTGGGCCTTTGTATTAGGCCGGATTTATTGGCGTTTTCTTTGAAGCAATGGAGGTGGTCGAAGGTAGCAAAGAAAAGAGTTGATTGATGGTATTTTGTAGTATGGAAAAACCAATTGAGTTTTTATTTGCACATTGTAGGATGATACCCACAAAACTTGTAATTTCCTCCATTGATAGTGAATCCATCCTTGCTAGTTGCCCATATGGATGCAGCCCGATTAGGGTGAACCACATATATATGTGTGTTTGATGGTGATTGAGTTATTGTCTGTAGTGCGTGGTTGTGCTTTCATATTTTACTTTTCTAGATTTCATCTTAATTTTTCCAAATTTATTACGCCATATATGGTTATTACGCATTTGGATTTGTTGAATTGATTTGCCGGTGATAAGTGAGTTGGTTTTGAGGTATTTGGATTTGTTGTAGTGGGGGGTTCACCACCACAATGGGTAATCCAAAAAGTCTCGGTTTCCTATAATTGGTATCACAACACAAAGTGTGTACGATATGCGAGTGGAAAAGCTAGATGGGTACATGGTTTGAGGTGGACAAATATGGAGGCAAAGTGTTCGTCCACAACAGAGGCAAATCAAGAGATCTAATCAATGAAGTTTGGAAAGGCAATTATGGTAATTTTCCTATCAAAGTGGAGATTTCTTAGGTATATGATAGCCAAAATCACGACATTTATGTTTTCTTCAAAAGATTGAGGGAATTATGGTGAAAAGAAAAAACGGTTTTCTTAGGAAGCAAGAACGAATCCCTAGTGATCTCCATAAAAGGGGGTCAAAGAAGACATAATACTCATCCCTTTAAGCGTCACCACTTTTGAGTCATGGGAAAAGATTCCAAGATCTCCAAGAGAGAGGCATGGCCTCCTAGAGAGGCGGCTTTCCCATGGAATTTTGGGTTGGTTTAGTTTCCTCTTCTAGAGAGAGAAAGTCTCTTGATTGCTCTCAATGTGCTCTTTCCGGTAGCCTGTACTAGTGGGAAAGATGAGATTGTTCGAGGGTGCTTGGTTGGGAGAGAGGATTTTGAAGGAAAGGTCTGTGAAGTTTTCCCCGATGTCTAGAAAGTGGTACATCTCTGGTAACTCAAAATTGTAATCTTCATAGAGATAGTAGATTTCCATTTGCCGAGGCCGTCGATACAGCCCTATAGGTTGAACCACATAAATAGTGTGTCGTTGTCGTGTGATTTTTGTTTTTGCTTTATTTTTTGCACTCAAATTATAATTGTATTCATCTATTTCATGTTTTTTGCACTCGATTCATAGTTGTATCCATTTATTTCATGTTGTTTGCACACGATTTATAGTTGTATTCATCTATTTCATGTTTAGCCAACTATGTACACGATCTTGGGTGGGATCCAAAATTTGGGATTCCTAAATCCTCAAGGGAGAGGTTTCCAAGGACCCTACACTATAGGTCGGCCAATGAAGCAACTGTGTTGAGAAACAATAAGTAAAAAAAAAATTGCTCCTACTGAATAAAGAGCAAAGAGGAGAAAAAGAGTTCTCTATTCTTCTCCATTCTCAAATTTCTTTGTTCCCCAATGAAGTAAAAATTGCATAAGGAACTGATAGAAGAACCACTCCATATAGCAAGGACATATTCAAATTCTTTTTCTGTTTTCTTAAATGTTTCTAGTAAAGAATGTATTCAATATAAGCTTTTTAAGAGCTCCATATAACTTTTTTCATTAACTCCAAGTTTCATCAACAAACTCATTAAATAAATAAACTATGCATGCCCTAGAGGCCCTACCCTGATGCAAAGCAATAAATTTATTTTTAAATCACCAATTTAAAAAATGAAGCTTCGTATCACAGACCTTCAAGTGAGCATTATGCCGTTTCCCAGCTCTCCACCGCCGAATCGATCCGTCATTCATTGTCCTAAACCTGGACTTATATGATCTGATTTTTTGCACAATTCAAAATAAAATAAAAAGGAAAAAGGACAAAATATCAAAGACCATCCAAGAAAGGGCACAGTTATTTTGAACAAAAGAAGTCAAAAAGAAAGAGTAAAATCACACATGCCAATAGGAAAAATCACCCATTACCACCAAAAAAATTAAAAATACATAACTGAACACCTACCAATTCAATATAGAGAGTAACAAAAGAAAAAAAGAACACACTCCATGAATCATCACTGTAAATAAGATAAACCATAAGAAATAGCAATGATCATCATTCAGACTGGAAGTATGTTCTTCAAAACAAAAATTTCAGACAGTGAATTGCCAACAAGACCTGAATTAAAAAAAATTAAAACTAAAAGAAACCGAATTTCATGATCAACCTAGAATGGGCATTCTTCTGAGAAAAAAAAAAACCCCGTTATTCATATATAAAGTGAGAGAAATCACCACAAATCGTTATTGAAAGAGAAAGCACACAAACCATTAATAAAGGCACATAATAAAACCTACGAGTAAGACTTCATTTTGGTTTTCTTCAACTTGGAAGTTACAGGCGTCACCTTCGTCCTCTTCCTCTCTTTCGATGAAAAATGGTGACACTGATTCATCTAATTCCCACCCAAAATTTAAAAGCAAAAACTATTAAGACAAGCAGAAATCATAGTTTCATAAAAAATAAAACGATGAAAAAGAAATAAGCAAGAAGCAACGCATACCAATAAAGTATTTCTCTGCATAGAAGGAGAGAATGGGGACTGTGCCCCAGTGGTTGCGAATGCATTCTTAGTCACTCTTATTGAAGTGGAGAAGAAATTGAGAGCCGTTTTCGAGATGGAGCCATTGATGGGAAGCACATGTGGTCCATGAAAAACAGGGCTAAAATGGTGGGATGAAGATGGTGAGACAGTGAACTTCTGCAATGCAGAAATGACACAAGGGCGTAGCGTACGCCATGGTCGCATTCTCACTCTCTCTCTCTTAATATTTCATTTCGAGTGATCTAAAGGAATGAAAAATTCATGTTACCTTCGAGCAGAGGTAAATACCAGGCAAAATTATAAAAATCCCCGGACCCAACTACCAGGAATGCCTTCAATATCAATACTTTGTAAGCCGCGCCACGGATTTCAATACTTTTTCTTTTATATTTTGAATAAATAAAAATAAAAAAATAAAAAAAAAATTAATGAAAACATCTCTTTTTAAATACAAATTATGCTGGATCAGCTTTATTGAAAAAAATATATATATATATATATATATTATTTATTTATTTTATTTTATTTTTTTAATTGGAGGTGAATGCAAAAATAATAATTTTGAAATTAATGATGTGGTTTAAAAAATATTGGAGATGCATGCTTAAAAAATTGAATCGAGAGAGGTATCTATTACTTTCCCTAAATACAATCTTGGAAATATAATAGTATAAGATCATATTTATTTAGTAAATAGAGGTCAAAATCAATTTTGACTATTAGACATGAAATTTGAATGTTTTGTTGATTTAATTAACGAGGCTCAAAGTTTGAAAGAAATTTTTTTAATCTTTGCAACCCACCCAGGGTGTTATGCTTCACAATTGATGGCTATAAGTGGCTATGATATCCTTTTAGTTTGCAATCTCGGAAAGAAAAAGTATATAGTAAGATTATGTACCTTTCATATATGGAAGACATAATAATTATGACTATTAGATGTGAAAGTGGTGGCTACATTTGTTCCATTGACCAGACTCAATGTTCAGTTTATATTAAGTCTATAGAAGTCACAATTAATTTTAACATTGGACTGAAATCAGGTTTGTTTATTCCTTTAACAGCCTCAAAGTTTAAAAGAATTTTTATCAAGCTTTGTAGTACATCTATGCTGTGAAATTTCATATCTAATGGCTCTAAGCGGTTTTGACCTCCTTGTACAAAAAATAAATGGCCTTGTAACATACAACCACTAAAAAGAAAAGTACACAATAAAACCATTAACATTTGGTATATAGAGGTTATAATTAATTATGATCATTGAACGTAAAATTGGGTGGTTGTGTTTGTTCCATTGACAATACTCAATGTTTACAAGAAATTTTATCAAATTTTGTGACGCACCCAAGCTATCAAATTTCACGAAAGTAAATACGTGATTGTGACCTCTTTGCATCAAATGTAAATAGTCTTATAGTATACAATCCCTTAAATGAAAAGTATACAATAAGACTACTTGTATTTTGTATCCAAAAGTCACAAATAATCGTGACTATTGGATGAGAAATTTAGTGGTTGTGTTTATTCTATTGACCAGACTTGGAGTTCAAAATAAATTTTTTTGATCTTTGTAATACATCCAAACTATGAAATTTTACATCCGTAGGCTAAAGTTGATTGTGACCTCCTTGTACTAAAAGTAAATAGTCTTGTAGTATACAATCCCCATAAGGAAAAATAGACAATAAGACTACTTATATCAATAAAACCGTTTATTTTGACCATTGGAAGTGAAATTGGGTAGTTGTGTTTGCTCTATTGATGACGTTCAAAGTTAAAAAAAGATTTTTTTTGAGCTTTGTGGCACACTCAAGCTGTTCATTTTCACTTCTAATAGCAATAGGTGATTGTGGCCTCTTTATCATCACTATTACTCGAGCCTCAACTCAACTATTTGGGGTCCACTCCACGAATCATAGTTCGCTATTCTGTTCTAGCAAGGCTCATACCCTCAATCAGACAATAAGTCACCATATCTCTTCTAATTACTTCTATCTAATTCCTTTTGAGCTTTCTTTTACAGCCTTGTACTTGAATCAAATCACCTCTCCTAACCGGTATTATTCTAGGTCAATGCTGCACATGACCTGACTACCTAAGTCAACTTTCCCTTATCTTATAGCCCATTAAAGTCATCCTTAATTTCCT